ATCATCTCTAATTCTAAATATTCACATTCATACCTCATTTTGTATTTATGCTTTTATTAGACATGTCTTTAGTGTGACTCCCACAATTTTATAAATTTTAGTCCCCAAAATATCTGGATTCACTGATGAGAGGAAAAGTTAGAGATAGGAAACTCTGAAGCTATTGTTGTGAAGTAGACATAATGAGATGGTGACTTGGCTTAGGGCAGTGGTTCTCAACCTGTGGGTCACGACCTCTTTGAGGGTCGAACGACCCTTTCACAGGGGTCACCTAAGACCATCGGAAAACACAAATATAATTACATATTGTTTTTGTGATTAATCACTATGCTTTAATTATGTTCAATTTGTAACAATGATAATACATCCTGCATATCAGATATTTACATTACGATTCATAACAGTAGCAAAATTACAATTATGAAGTAGCAATGAAAATAACTTCATGGTTGGGGGTCACCACAACATGAGGAAATGTATTAAAGGGTCGCGGCATTAGGAAGGTTGAGAACCACTGGCTTAGTAGGTTTTGGGTTTGTTTTAAAGGTAGAACCTTCAACAGGATTTGCTGATGAGTTGGTTATTGGATGCTATTGAAGAGAAATAGAAGTCAAAGGTAATCAAGTCATCAGCAAATTTCTGTTGAAAATTATACCTTTAAAACAAATTCAAAACCTAAATGCTTTTGCCCTAAGTTACTGAGGATAAAGTTTCCACTTACCAAGACAGGATGTCTATAGGAGGGACAGATATGCTTCTTATGACCAGGAATTAAGCTGTAGTCATATGAAGTCTGACATGTCTGTTAGCATCTAAGTGGAGATATTGAATAGTAAGTTCGTATATGAGTTTGGAGTTCATGGCAGAGAACTAGGCCCAGGTATCACTTTGGGATATCTTATTGTATATATAGTATTTAATGCCTGGAAGGTATGTGATATGCCATACAAGTTAGAAAAGTCCAAGAACTAAGCCATGGAGTATTTAGAGGTGAGGGAAATGAGGAGAAACTAGCAAAGATGACAGAGAAAGGAGCAGTAAGAGAGGATGAAAAACCCAAAAAAACAAAAAAAGAAATAAAAACAAAAAACAAACAGGAGACTGAGATGAGCTGGAAACTGAGTGAAGAAGGTGTTTCAAGTATGAAGGAGAGACTGATCAGATGTGTCAAATTCTGCTTATAGATCAAGATTAGGACTGAATGTTGACATTGAACAGTAACATGAAGGTCAGTGAGGACCTCCACACCTACTGTTTTGGTAGAATAGTCAGTTTAGAAGAGATTGGGCAGAGAGAAATGAGACAAGTGTAAGAACTATTTCGAAGTGTTATGTTATACAGGAGAACACAGAAATCGGGTACCTATTAGAAGAGATCAGGGAGAGTAGTTTTCTTTTGTTTATTGTTTTAAGATGGAAGAAATAGTAAAATTTCTGTTCAGAACAATCAAGAGGAGAGGGAAAAAATAACTTAAAAAGGACGGAGAAAGAATAATTGCTGGGAGCAAGGTCCTTCAGGTGAGAGTGGATGAAAACTGTTGTACACGCAGAGGGCTTGGCCTTAGATTAGAATGTGGATTATTTTACCCTCAATAATGAGAGGACACACCGAGTATATGGATACAGATGCTGTCAGGAGGGTAGCTTCAGTAGTCTCCATTGATTGCTTTCTCAGTGAAATGCAAAGCAAGGACCTCTGTTGAAAGCAAGCTGAGGGGTGGAGGGAGGTGTTGGAGGTTTAGAGTCGAAAATGATTAGAGAGGGGTGAGTGAACAGACAACAGTGTTGTGCTGTGATTAATGAAGCATTGAAGTCCACTTGGGTTCATATTCATGACTATGAAATGAGACCAATCAGTTTCTGTTTTATCCTATCACATTGACTATGCAAGTATCACAGAATAGGCAGAGAATTAAATTCAACTAGAGTTTTGTGTTTTCTCAAATGAAGATGACAAAATGAGGGTGGGGTAATGGAGTTGAGAGTCCATGAGAGAGAGAGAGAGAGAGAGAGAGAGAGAGAGAGAGAGAGAGAGGTCATAAGGATTAACTTCGGAAGCTAAGCTGGCTAAGAGATGAAGGTGGCAAGCAGGAGTGAAAAGGTAGTGGTATCAATGAGTTGCAAGTGCTGGTAATGGTCAAAGATTGTTGGTGATGGGGAATAATCTGAAAAAATAAAAGGCGTTGATGAGAGAGTAAAATGCTTAAAATTGAACTCATCAAGTAGCAGTGATGGGTAGTGAAGAGGAACAGGGTGTGAACTTGATCAGAAATGGCTCCTCGAGGGGAGATGATAATTTCTTTCAGCTTTTTATAACCTGTACCTCAGCTGAACAGATATTCAATGAATGTTTCTGGATGGATTTAGAAAAAAAAAAGTTGACTATTAGAATGGAGGAAAGCTGATAAAAGTAGGTCATTCTGAGCCAATTTTTAAATTAGCAACTGCATTTGTCTTCATACATTTATGGGTGCACAGGACAAAGACCCACACAAGCTAGCTCAAGTCGGGGGAACTTATTTTAAGTTTCAGATCTCACTAAATGCAAAGTCTTTTGAGGACCACTGGCCTCTCATCCTGCTTCTCAGGGTGGCTCTGCTTTCCTCCCAGATAGGTGTCTTCTCCTTATCGTACACACAGACCAACACAGTCACCTCACCTTCTAAGTCATATTTCTGGCAGAGGAATATGATGGGCCTAGGATGTGTTAGGTGATCACAAAGCCACAGTCAGGACAGGAGTGATGGCAGTAAGGTGCCATTATGGCAATTTCAGCCCAACCTCTCAGCAGAATCTATAGACCAGGAGAGTGGCTTGTGGGGAGCAGGCTGCATGGGGCAGGCAACTCCAAATAAGTCATCTTTTTGTGAGGGAGGGGATCAAGTAGAAAATAGCAGGTCCCATTTTATTAAGCACAAATATTCTTGCATTTAGAAGAACAACATATTTTAGCTTCTATAATTTTATCTTTTGTCTTAATAAAAGTTCAGTAGAAGACAATCCGTTTATCAACTAGTTAATATTGATTATTTTGCTAGTTACCATTACTCTTAGCAAACATTGGCTGATCAATATCTTTATAAACTTATTTCTATTTCCTCTGATGAGGCCACTTATTTGTACCCTGACCTAGTCAGTTAATTTGTACAAGACCATAGCAGGATATGTTATTTTTTAGGCCAAATATTAAAAACACACACACACACACACACACACAAAACCCTTTTCATAGTTCTCTACTAGAGAGACACTGTAAGGATAGCTTGGGCAGTAGCTTCAAATGACATCAGCAATCTTCCAAGAAGAGTGGACAGTGTTCTTATTGCCATTTTAGATGGGCATTAGGTACTCCTACTATTTATAGCTCCAAGAACATCTCCTGTCACGTATGTTTGCCTGTGTATTGATCTGTATGCCCTGCTAGAAAGTAAACCTTTAGAGGGCAGGGATCTTATCTCATTTGCATTGATATGTGCCTGAACAGCAGAATGATGGGCTCATTCAGAACTTGAAAGATGTTCTATAAATATTTGCTGAATCCCGGAATGAAGCGGATGTGAGTGCAAGTGTGTGTGTAAGTTGCTAACCAGGTTTAAGCAAGCCTGGTAGCTTTTCAAACTATTCCAGGTACCATGTGGACACTTCTGTTACAAGGTGCTGAGTACTGTGTTACACCTTAAGAGAGTTTGCGTGTGCGCATGTGTGTGTGTGTGTGTGGTGTGACAATTACTGTAAAGAATAAAGAGATCCATTGTAATTACTGTCTGGTGTAAAACAGCTGTTGCCTGAGCTATTCAGTGTCCAAGGCAGTTACTCATTCCCCTGGCCTGCATGGATGCTTCCAAAATGATCCTGTCACAGCAAGTGTGTTCTGGCATCCCCTCCAAACACTGGGGAGCCTGCAGCCAAGGGTCTGTTAATGCCTGAAGTGTGCAACGTGTGACATTGATCATCTCCTCTCTGAGCTGGCACTGCTCTGAAGCAGCCTGAGAACCAGGGAACGGGCCCGCTATTAAATCCATCTGGTTTTGATCCCTGTGCACTTAATGAATCAAAACATTATTTTAGACAAATTTTATTTAACTATTCCAGAAGTTCAGTGAGTACTCTGACTATACTTAGGATGGATCCAAAAAATGCTTCATGTAGTCACTGTAGAGACATTCATGAAGACATATAATGTGTGACCGTTACAAGTTTAATGGGTACTTGTAAGTACTTCCCATGTGGTTGAATTGATGGTAGTTTCTACTTGAATTCTCAGCTTCCAGCTGCACTAAGCCACTAAGTGTGGCCTTTAAGTCGAATTCAAAAATAGATGGGATACCTGGTATAGTTCTGTAGCTAGATGACCTTTACTTTTTCATTCCTCAGTGAAATGTTGGAAATCTCTATATATCTCTATTCTTCTATTGGAAGTCAATTAATGGAGAAGAGGACAGAGCAGCAAAAAAAATAATATATATATAGCATATATTGAGCATGTACTACATATTAGGCACTATGTAAAGCCATGCATTTTCCAAAGTCTTGAAAGATAGTCTATTATTAGTTGCATTTTACAGATAAGAAAACTCAGACTCAGAGAGACACGCTCAAGCTGGTGTCAGGGAGAGGAATGGCAGAACCTGGATTGGAGCTCTCTCTCTGATGCCAAAGCTTGTACTCTCTCCCCTCATCTCCATGCTACATCCTTTTCCTCAGTGGTGTTTCGAGCAATTCGCTGTGCTTGGGGAAATGAGGGTTTTCCAAGTGCTCTGAGAGTGTGGAAGGGTCACTAAGTCTTTTTCTAAAGCATTGTATGCCTCGAGCAAGTCACTTTTCTTTTCCATATTTCACTTTGCCTCATAAAACTGATCAGATCTATCCTGCTCTGGAAGGCTATTCTGTTTTCATGAAGAGCTATGATGTTTCAGGGGGAAAAAAAGGTGTCATTGAAAGTGCCCAACCTCATTCTTAGATAATAACGAGAAAAACGCCAATGTCATTTATGTCCTGTAGCAAATGGATGCTCTCCTGGTTCTCCCAAAGATGTCCCTAAGTGCTGGTGTCGTTTTCAGCAGGTCCTCATCACCGCATCCTGTGGATGCAGACAAGGACTGCCAGGAGGGGGCCAGGTAACTGGACACTGACTGCTCCTGGAGCTCAGCAGTGAAGTATTCTATTACTGCTGCTGCTTTCATGTTCCTGTTTAACCAAAGCCACACTTTTAGAGGCATTTTAGAAATTTCAATGGAAAAGATATATTTGCTAGTAAGTTAGAAAAGGTAGCTAGTGTTACACAGATATGTGAAAGGCTAGAATTTGCAATGAGCTTGGGCAGTTGCTTCCCTCCCTTTTTTATTGTGAAAATGGTGATTGTTGCTACCTTTACCCTGAAATTCCTCTCTAACAATACCACCTTTATCAATGGGAGCAGGATTGTTTCCTTGAGTGGGAAGGGCAGCAAGAATATGGGGAAGAATTGACTGTTTCTGTGAAAGAGGGGAGGGCATGATTACTTTGCTGGGTCAACAATAATGGAATGTCCCAAATGGCCATAAAGATGTTCTCGGTGTTCCTACATAGTTTCTTAGGTAAAATTGTTATGTAGGTAGTTAGAACTTAGCAATAGCACCACGTGTTTACGATTTGAGGACCCAATGCTAGAATGACCAGACCTTGGGTTTTTTTGGCCTGGTTTTTAAATGAAACCTGATTTTAATTTGTACATGGGCTTTTGCCTTGTTGAAATAAAAAAAAAGCAATCACAATAGCTGGAACCCCAATTTGCTCAAATCTGTCTTTTGCAGCTGATTTTATTTACTTACAGGTCTAATTACATTTAGAAAAAAGTTTTATGGCATCAGCAGTAAAATCAAATGAGTGCATGAAATTTCTAATGATTTATTTCCCACACAAATTTTAATTATCCAGATCTACACATTGGGGACACTTCCCCTTGAAAAGGGAATGCTTTTACGTGTTGATTCTCACTATAACTAGAGGTTTGCACTCCTTTTGGTAATTGGTTTCCAAATTTTTTTTCTTTTCTTCAAACTAGAATGAATTTCACATCTTCCTAGATTTGTTCCTGTGTTTGTAGTCCTGATATAAACATCCTGACCATGAGGAAATGTTTGCATTGCTCAAAGGACCACTTCTGTGGCTGGAAAGGGTGGGTAACGAGACCTCACATTTGTGAGCACAAGCAGTGAACACAGTTCAGTACTACGGTTTAGGCTTGAATGATAATGGTAATCTAATACATGTGTCACTCAATAAACCCTCTGTATTGGCTTGAAGACGAATCTGAGATTTAGAAACAAAAATAAAAAAAATTAAGGTCTGGTTTCCTTGGTGCGTGATCGTGGCCAAATTATTTAACATATTAATCCTCAGTTTCCTATTTTGTTAAATGGTGATGATAAAAAAATACCTGCTGACTATATTGCTGGAGGGCCAAATGAGATTTATGGGTGAAAACGTAAACTATAAAATGCTATACACATTATTAATGACTCATTGAAAGACTCGTGAGGACATATATGTGAATCTAGAAAAGCTGATGTTTATCAGTATAAAGCAGTTACAAAGTGCATTTGCAGGAAGAAAACGAGTGGGCTCCCTTACTTTACTTCCCTTTAGGCAACAGATCATATTCAAGCATTACACTTGGTAGGGAATCTAAAGATTTGTGTGATACCTTTACCTGGTGGTTATCTGAAAAGTAATGTTCTGGTTTTATGTAAGTGTGCTCAAGCTACATTGGTGCCCAAGTGTGTCATCTGGTTTTAGAGTTTTGTGTATCCTGTGGTTTTAAAGAGTTAATAAAACCTTAACTACATAATAAACTGCTAGGGAACAACTGTGACAAATGTTGTTGGCATCGAATATACTGGGAAATGGGGTTTTCGGCAGAAGTGGCTTAATTAAGAGTGGGGCCAGTTTCCATCCGCTATTTCACCTTGGTTTCTGCTTCGGCAACAAGTCGCAAAACTGGTCAGCCTTGCAGCCTAGAGCTTCCTAATTGGCTCCAAATGAGTCAGATTCCTGTTCTGTCTGGTGGTTAATATCATTGGCAAGTCTTGTAGATAAACAACAGAAAGAGTGCCAAATCCTTTAGAGGACAAACAGCATATCCTGGTTTGTCGGGCATCCTTTGTCCCTTCACACAGGCTTAGTTTGGGGCCTGGGAAAACTATCACTCCTAATGCAAGGTGAGAACATGTGTCAAGGTGGTTGAGAACTTTTCCCTGAGACAAATAATGATATGAAATGTGAGGAGAGCTAAGAGCTGGTGAGAAAACAAAGAAAGAAATAATCATTTACAAATAGCTGCTTACTTCACTGGAAAATGATCCTAATCAGGAATTTGCATTTCTTTAAAGTCTTTCTGTTAGTGATAATATCCCTATCCCTATTTCTCAAAAGGCAATTATCACATAAAATGGCTTATAATAGAAGTGTTATTGCTTTCCTGGCGTTCAGCATGTAAGATTTTTATTGGTATACTTATCTTTTTTTTTCTAAGCACCTGCAATTATATTTACATTCTGACAAAATACAGTGATGGTGGCACTTAAATCTCCCAAGTTTCTGTCTATGATCCTCAGCAATTTTAGTCTTTTCAGCTCTGTTTTCTGTAACAATTTCAAATGCAATTAAGGCACAGAAGTATCATTTGTAAAGTTTCCACAAAGCATGTATTTTGGGTTTTGGTGCTAGATAAAGTTATAATAACTTGCTTTAGAATTAGGGGGGTAGATCTGGGATTAGCTCAGGATCAGAACCTTGCTAGTGAGGTTATAAGCTCTTAGCTTCCACGCGAGAAAAATTCTGACTGTGTGGGCAAAGAAGAAAGGAAATGAGGTGCTGGCTTTTGTCATCGGTCATGTTGGGTGGTTGGCAGGATTGGCTGTTGATGGACGAGCGTGCAGTGAATTGCCTAACAGAAGACAATTTGTGAGAACCACAAATAAGAAAGATAACAAACTTGCCACAAATTCTTTTCCTGGTTCCAGATTAAAATATAGGACTCTATTCTGCTAAGAATAGGTATTGAACTTACCTTAGATTTCTACTAAGAAAAAGTAATTAAATGTATATGAGACACCCTAATTGGCATTCATGCAACGATCATACATTTACTGAGCATCTTCATGGGGTCTATAAAGGGTCTGGGATGTCCCCCTATTTACAGCTAAAAAGTCAGACTGCCACACCTTCATGGGTGCAGGCAGATGACACAGAATCAGGACCTGTTAGAGACAAGGACTTCGTTACTCACGGCACAGCATGCAGGCTTAGCTGTATGTCCCTGTCACTTCCCTTTGCCCCGAGTCCCATGGGGCTACGTGGAGAGGTCCTCATAGATGCTGTACTTGTGGTGGGTCTGTGTGACTGCTGAGAGATGTGAGCTTGGGGAACCTATGGCTTTGAGAGTAAGCGTGTTCTTTGTCCCCTTTACCTCAGTCCTCAAGGCTGCTTGCTGGGCATACAACCCTCAGAAACAGACTGGGCAAAGAGCAAATAGCGGGCAGAGCCTGACATTCTTGGCACCCAATACAGTTGTGAAGGGTGCTCAGGACCCATGGTGGATTGCCTCTTCCAACACTAAGGCACTCATGACAGTTATCTCCCAAATAAGTGTCTATGTGCAAATAAGTGTAACATGCATGAACTCTATGCACATGTATTAGTAGTTTCCAACAATCATTATTCCCTCTCTTTGACACATGGAGAATTTGAGGCTCAATGTGTTTAAATAAGAAACTAAAATCACAAATAAAAGGCACAGCAGGCACCACAACAGAGTGTTTTTAACTCATGGTCTCATGTTCTTAGCATTGGACAGTTTTGCATCACTGCTAAAGGATTTTCAGGCCATGTTGGCTCTATGTTTTAGTGGGGGCTTTTCCATTATTTTATTTAGTGCTTTGTACATTTCAGGAAATGAGCACTCCTTTTGCTCATCTATTGCTGTTTTGATAAAATGGGTCTATTGTGTTCCTACATCTTGTCCTCTTTTTAGCTTAGATAAATCTGTTTTATTTCTATGGCAATATTGCCTGTTATCATAGAATTTCAGAGATAAAATGTACATCAGCCACAATTTAGTGTAACCGCCCCACCTCCATTTTATAAATAAGAACGCAGAGGTCCAGAGAGTCTGGGTGAATTGCCACCCAAGGTTAAAGGTCTTGGTAGTGTTAAAAGGTTAAAGGTCTTGGTAGTGTTAAAGAGAAGACCAGAACCCACGTTTTTTTTGTGTGTGTGTGTGTGTGTGTGTGTGTTTTTAAAATCTAAAATTCAGTGTTTTTGTCACTACATTACATTGCATTCTGAAAGAAAAAGAATTAAAAAATGTTGACAGAAGTCCTTTTTAGTAATAATAGTACTTCAGGATGATCAATTTAGGTATTGAAATGACAACAGAACTATGATTCCTTTAAATCGTGGGTTAGAAACATAACAGCCTCTCTAAAATCAGCGGGTGACTGTGGAGTAGCTGGTGAGGTCAGTGGGAAGCATGGAGTCTGTGGAAAACTAGAGAAAACCACCCATCCAGACACACTTTGATATAACATTTCTTGAAGATTGTATGCCCCCCAAATCTATGTCTGCCTCTGAATTTGGCCTTCCAGCTGCCATTTCACAATAATTGACTTGTATAACATGGTTTTAAAGATTTTCTACATCCTTTAATGTGATTTTGTCATACAGGCTTTTAGAGAAAGCTAAATAGTTGTCAGCTGCTCTAACCCATTATTTTGCCGAAAGAGAAACAAAGCAGATTCAGTGACTTGCTCAAGTCAGGAAAGCTAGTTTGTCAAACCAGCTGTGACTGGAACCAAATTTACCAACTCCCAGTGCTGTGTTCTTTCTACTTCATCTTCAAACATTTATTTTTAGACAAAAAGAATATTCAATTTTGTAAGTAAAAAGCAATGTCAGCTTTGACATGTAACATCACATTTTGCAGATAACCTCTCAGGCATCCATCAATATTTTTTTTATTGAGTATATTATCACATGCCTATGTCAATTGACATGAGACATACAAAAACACATTAGACATCTTTGTTCATTTCTGTCCTCTTTTTTTGGCAAAGTCAAAACTAATATTGAGGAATAACTAGATGCTAGAATCTTCAGCATTAAGTGTAATAAAATTTCAGAAAATGAAATATTATTAGGGACTTAACATTTTAACTCTCATATTCCAATAATTATCTTTAGTGGCATATTTAAGTGACCCCTCTGTCATAGTCAAAGAGCATTATGACACTTTAGGATGCCAATACCAGAATTGTATGTGTGCGCGCACATGTGTGTGCGTGTGTGAAATACATAGAATTGGAATCTGTTCATTTCATTCTTCATGTTAAATATTACTTTTTGTCCATTGATATCTTAAATATCTTCTCAGCCTCTATTTTAAATTTTATGGCAAATACTGAAATAGATACAAGGTATGCCAACTAAAGATATGTTGAGATGGAGAGAGATTTCTGTCCACTAATTGAGATGTTATAAGAAATATCAGTTAAAAAACCACACAAACTATGGTACTCTATGCCTTTTGCTTTCTCTTTTGTTTACACCAGTATTTAAGTTCCATTTTTAGACTCCACGATGCTGTATTCACCTTACTCTAATAGTTTCATTCTGCTTAGAAATTCCTCTCCTGGGCCTGTTCTGCAACTTGGTTGGCATGCCTAGCTGATTTGTCACATTTGTCTTTTTCCTCCTGTCCATCTCAGATGTGCTCTGTCTTCAGAACTCTCCCTTCTTTGATACAATTTCAGTCCTTTTCTGCAAAGGATTAGGTAAACAACTTTGGCTTTGTGGGCCATATGGTCTCTGTCACATCTCCGCTTCTATAGGGACAAAAGGAGCCACGAACAATAGGTAAACATGTGGACATGGCTGTGATCCAATTAAACTTTATTTATAGAAAACAGGTAATGGATGGACTGCCTTGGCCCTGGCCCTGGTGGTTTGCCAACCCTGCACTAAACTGTTAGTATCATAATAGGGAATGCTCATTCCAAAAGTTGAGCAAGATGATATCAGTTGTATAGGAAGAAGCCCCTGTTCACATTTTTCTATATTTTCTATACATATATTTTTATTTACTTTACAATGAACTATACATGTTAATAAAGTAGAATGTGAATATAATTTATAGATAAACAACTATACCTATATTGGAACACCTGCCCCCAATTTTATACTGATAGTAGTGTGCAAAAAGAGATTGGAAAATTGTAGACTCCTACTACAACTTCTCACAAAGACCATGCGTTTGAAAATATACCTCTCTTGTGCTTACTTACACGTGAGAAAGGCATTCTTATTATAGGGAACAGTGAGTGTGGAGTTTTGAAATATGGAAAGGGTAGTAGACAAGGGTAGTTAGGATCTTATAAATTCTGTCACATTCCAACATTTTAATTGGATCTGCCTCAGCTACTCAACAGTTGACCATTAATTAGTCCAACTTTCCCTTTAACAGTAATAATTTTCCCTTTGGCTTTCAAAAGGATATTATGAATTATTACTTTCTAAATATTATGGAAATAACTTATTCTGCATAAAGTATTATTCCCTAATTCTATTAATGGCCTAGACCAGTGGTCAGCAAACTCATTAGTCAACAGAGCCAAATATCAACAGAACAACGATTGAAATTTCTTTTGAGAGCCAAATTTTTTAAACTTAAACTATATAGGTAGGTACATTGTTATTAACTTAATTAGGGTACTCCTAAGGCTTAGGAAGAGCCACACTCAAGGGGCCAAAGAGCCGCGTGTGGCTCACGAGCCGCAGTTTGCTGACCACTGGCCCAGACCATATATTCTATAGGTTTTGTTAACCCCACAGCATCTGAAAGAAATTTTCATATACAAAGAGCAACTTGGTCATAACTAAATAAAATGTAGACAAAACACAATTGACTGAGGCCTTAACATCTTTTTAGAGACTGTAGTTAGGGCCTTGGCCTACTGTCTAAACCAATGCCTGCTATGGGGTGAGGTTGTGATAGTTATGAAGTTTTGCAGGTACTTTTGTAACCCATTTCTTCCACACCCCTCCCCCATGTACTTCTAAACATGCCACTGGGCAAGTGTTAATTTTAGCTTTAACATGAATTACAATTAATTTATTTTGATAATGTCACGAGGCTGTCTGATACAATTTTACTTCTTTTAAGGCTATGGTAAATCCAGAGTCAGAAGTCCCATACAGGTAGCTACTATAAGAGATCAAACTAAGTCAAAACCTTTTTAATAATGTAACATTGCTTTTTAGTAGCCAACTTTTATCCTTACAATAAAGAAGTTGTATATTTTGAGGTTTGTGGTTTTATTTTTGGTTGTGCTAAGCATGTAATTGTAGGTGCAAGAGCAAGTTGCTAGTGTAAAATAAAACATAATAAATAAGATAGTTTTGCATTTTTAGTGTGGCCTTGTCAAGCTGGAGTTTAGATTAAGATGGGAGCACGAGGCAGACTATGTTAGCAGTCTGTCTTGTTCAGCTTTTCTTGTGCCAATTGCCCATTCTGTGGGAGTTAGTCCTGTCTCTCTCTGCATACCCACTTGCAGGATTACCCTGGATGCTGTCCAAATATTTAATATTAAAGTAGGTCCTTGTCCTTGTAGTAGCGCTAGCAACATGTCCCTTACTTTCTCACAGTTCATTGTAATCTTCCAGATAGCCACATTGTAAACATAAATTCCCTCTTCCCACCAGGGAAAATTTCTTTTAAAGTGCTAGTGGAGAATAATTTTAGATATTGAAAACTTATTCAGAGCATGCCTAAACATATCACCACTTGAGTTTCCATCTGTATTTGCTTATTTTGTTTTCTTTTCATGCTTACCAATGGCTCTCAGTTTCTATTTGTAATGAAACAAACCAGACATTTAAACTTGAGGAGGCATCTTGTGCAGTTGGAAAGACAAGGAAAGGAAAAGGAGAAATCTTTACTTAATGCTTAATTTGTGCCAAGTGTTTATTCTCTTGTGTGAAAACTTCATTTTTTTTTGTCTTAACATGTTTATTATTATTTAATTGATTATTTAATTTTTTGGCTCACTACAGTTTGTGTTAAGAAAAAAATACATGTAGTATTTGAATGGTCAAATGTCAAAGTGCTCAATTTCCCTAGAAAAGACACAGGGGAAGGAAAGACGAGTTCCTCTAGGGCACCTCAGGTGATATCCTTAGTGGATGGATATAGGCATCCTAGTAGATAAAGCAAGTGTGCATGAATTTATATTTTGTCTCAGTGAGAAGCAAAAGAGACAATAAAAATATTAAAGTAAAGTATTAAAGTATAAAGTAAGGGAGTCATCAGGAAGAGTATGGAGTCAGAAATAG